CTGTAAAAAACAAATTTGCCATTGATATGCCTGTTGTCTGTTTCTTCTACTTCAAATTGTTGGTTGTTAGACCAATGGAAATGGTGTGTTTATAAGTTTGTTTTGACCAGGTTATGTTTTGTCTCGATTGCTTAGTCGAGTACCTTGAAGCCTGTCAACAAAATCGAAGAATATCAATAATAATCAAACATATCATGGCACAAATCTGTGCACTTTGGCTTGCTAGTAAGCACCAAAGCTTCTAATAACTGCAATTTGTACGGGTTTAATCTCAAACGCTTGCCTATGCCCGTGGACTGGGGTATATGGAGTTTCCTCAAGCTGACTGTCGAGGTTAGTGGACTCCACGCAAACCTAGCTTCTATTCTCTCCACATCATCTGGCGGAGTCTGAGGACGTCCCGAACTCTTTCCAGCATACAAACATCCAGTCGTCTTGAATCGCCCCATCCAGCTCAGCAGCATCAGCTATAAAGTTCCGATGAGGAGAACTTCCATACTTAATTTGGTCAGAAATTTCCGTTGAACACCAACAAGAACATTATTGTAGTATAAATAGTAGTACGAGCAAGTTCATAAAATGAACATGACAGTGACATAAAATGTCATTTCTTGTTTTGTTGTAGAAATTTGTTGGCAGGCTTTGTCGTATTCAACCAAACAAATAAGACAAAACACAACCTTGTCAAAAATATATATATATATATATAAACTCGTCCTTTCCATTAGTGTAACTATCAGCCGTTTGAAATGACGAAAAGGTGAGGATTATATGCAAATTTGAACAGTGATAGAGAAACAAACAACTATGATGTAATTTTTTATCGCTATCTACCTACAATTTAATATTTTGTAGTTAAATAACGCTTACCTTAATCTTTAGAAAACTGATAAGATAACAATAAGATGTATGTTTCTGTAAACTAATTCTCTCTTTGCCTCTTTATAGTCTATATATATTACAAATTCATATTTTTGAAACCACAAACAAATATAAGGTACATGTTTTAAAAAGGCTTTATTTATTATCTTTTCATAATGTCATAGCGTTGTGTATTACAGAAATCTTGGACCCGTACTAAAAATAGGTTTGGTTAGTATGCATATGTTTTTTTCTGTTCCATCGTTTATGTCAAGAACAAATTACAGGACACTTTATGACTGATAAGGGCACGAGAACCCTTTAAACACATCTAGTGTAACAATAAAAGTAAACAAAGGTTCAAGGTAAGGACTTTGTCATTGAATCCAAAATAATTAGGGACGATAAAGTTCCGAATTCATTTAACAAAAGATAATACATTTTAAGGTTTTACTACTGTGCAATAAATAGTATTTGATTTCACCGACTAGCACTGTTTCTACAAAAGTAATATGCAATTACTTTTGCAGATGTAAGTAATTTAGAAGGTATAAAAATGAACTTGGGCATTATACGAATAGCATAGAAATCCATGATAACCTACGTATACCCTTTGCAGATGTAAGTAATTTAGAAGGTATAAAAATGAACTTGGGCATTATACGAATAGCATAGAAATCCATGATAACCTACGTATACCCTAAAAAATTTACAAGGTGTTTCGAAACCCTCTCAAGAAATTCCATGGGCATGTTCCTTAGTTCCAAAAAAAAAAAAAAAAAAAAAAAAAAAAAAACATATGCCCTGTCTCGTTTCTGTCTGTTAGTGTGTATATATTTTTTACATAACTTCCCATAACTTTGGAACCACTTGAGGTACCAGCTTCAAAATTGGTACATGTATGATTACTAATAGGAACTATCCTTTTGAAAAGCATCAAGATTATACTTTGTATGTTTCAAAATTATGGCAATTTTAATTTTTCAAAGCTCAAAGTAATAGATAAAAAAAACATTGGATTAAAAAAAAGGTTTCAATTGAAAAAAACTAAAAAGATTTTACTTACTTTTCTACTTTTCAATCCTTCATAACACAAAATAATGGAGGGATAAACGAATTTAATTAATAAAAAAAATTTGTTAAGTAAATTAAATGCCAATCCTTTTAGTCATTTGTAACTTTTTTATAAATTCTATGGCTTTTGTCTTATTAAGCTTTGAACAATTAAAATGGCCGACATTGTGAATCTATACAAAGTATAAGCTTAATGCTTTAAAAAAATATGTGCCATTTGTAATCGTACCCGTACCAAGTTTGAAGTAAAGTGGTTCCATAGTTAAGGGAAGGTAAGTGAAAATAACATACACACCGACAGACGAAAAACGAAGCGAGAGGGGCATAGGTTTATGTAATATTTTTTGTTTTGTTTTGACCTAAGGAACATGCTCACAGAGTTTTGGGAAAGAATTTCGAAGCACCCTGTACAAGTGTACATACTATGAAAATACAACGAGAGTATTTTCCAAGTAAAGTAAAACACACCATTTCTGTTACAAACTGAGTACTCTACTCTTCTAGAACTTCTTTGTGCGCGTTCGTGAGCAGATTCTCAGGACATTTCTACGTGGACGTATCGTTAACGGTCTACCGCGACAGAAGATCATTATTTGAAAGACACTCGTTTTAGCGTGAACGCTCTACTGATTCAAGATCAAGATCCCTCTATCCCTAGTGACTTATCCCTCTGTGCAACACCCGAGCTTGGACACGACGCCTTTCCCTAGCCTAACATAACCATGGAAATTGGTCAACATGCTGCTCCCCTACATGCCATTTCTGACAGACTATTGGCCATTTCTGGTGGCTGGTGTAGCTTGCTTCGCCGCTGCCAAATATCTGTTCACCGTTGTTTCGGAGGCTCCTGATGAAAAAACTCTCGTAGAAGAGGAGGAGCTTATAGGGGAAGACAAGCTAGACATGGACAGTGTAGACGGGGGCCAAGACCCTGACATAGCCTCAGCCCTACCCTGTCCAGAGGTAGTCTTGAGTTCAACCACTCGGACAATTCCGTCTTTGCCTGGATGAACAGCTGTGATTCTGGCAAAAGGCCATTGTAAGGTAGTTGAAGGGGAGTGAAAGAGCACTAAGTCCCCAACTTTGAGATTTTCCTCTTTATTTGACCACTTTGATCGTTGTTGGAGCATGTGGAGATATCCGGCTCGAAGGACCAAATGTTCGATTGATTGTTTTGGGGGAGTAAAATATGAGATAATTACAAGTTAGAGAGTGAGAAATGAGTAAAATTCGAAGGACCACCCGATTAGGTCGGGAAAACCATAGAGCGAGGAAACACCTTAATTAAATGAATGAATAAAGAGAGTCACTCACCAATTTCCATGGTTATGTTAGGCTAGGGAAAGGCGTCGTGTCCAAGCTCGGGTGTTGCACAGAGGGATAAGTCACTAGGGATAGAGGGATCTTGATCTTGAATCAGTAGAGCGTTCACGCTAAAACGAGTGTCTTTCAAATAATGATCTTCTGTCGCGGTAGACCGTTAACGATACGTCCACGTAGAAATGTCCTGAGAATCTGCTCACGAACGCGCACAAAGAAGTTCTAGAAGAGTAGAGCACAGAGGTTGTTGGTAGAAATTCTTATAGCTAAAAATATTACTAATTAATATCTCTTATTGACTAAACACTCTCACTCACATCTTACATAAAGAAAATAATCCCTAATAAAAAAGAACATTAGAAATTTGTTATGAGAAACCACAGGTGTTTGGCTGTGAGAGCAGAAAGTGGAAAATGTGCTTTCGCCAAGACTGTAATGTTAAGTTAATATCCGAAGAAATCATTTCCTTGCTTGCGTTACAAAAACTTTCACTTGCACTTTTTTTATAAGCATTGAATTAGGAAAGGGAATTCTAAATGTATGGAGGTCATAAACACTAAAACGATCATATAGATTTATAACTCAAACGTTACAAGAGAGCACAAAGACCATGGCAAAATTTGGTCAAGAATAATGACATTTTTATACACTAATAACCCACTAAGCGAGAAATTGTACTTCATTGTTATACAGTGTAGAAATGTTTAGGCAATTTAAATGTGTTGAATTTAAAAATTTGTTTAAATATTCATGGATCAAAAAAAACCTTAATTAACACTATCTTCCTAACAGATTGTCACGAACGCGTACCATATTTCAACAAGTTGTTTAGTTAAAATGAACATTGTACATGATGATAGAGTTATCTTTCTTCAAATTAGTTTGATGCCATCTTGCACCGTGTATATGACAAAACAAATATAAGTTTATTATTTGAAAATAAAACATTGCCACGCATGTTTCAACATGGATTTTTTCTTAAACTGCTTTGCATCCATTGTCTTTGCGGAAATGAATCGTCTTTAACATTAGCTAAATGACAACAGCATCATGGGCAGAACAAAACAATGCTTCAACAAACGTTTAGAGAATATATATGCTGTACACATTAGTAGAATGTCCCCCGATCTAGCAGGGGTAGTTTTGGTGTGTTGTGTGTTGCCTAGGGGTGGATTGAAGGGGTTGATTTAGGGGTGGTTTTTGTGTAAGGGGTGGTTTTAGGGGTGGTTTTTTGGATTAGGGGTGGTTTTTTGGATTAGGGGTGGTTTTAGGGGTGGATTTAGTGTTGGGGGTGGTTTAAGGGGTGGATTTAGTGTTGGGGGTGGGTGTTGGAGTTGGGGGGTGGGGTGGGGTTGTTGTTTTTGGAAGGGTTGAAGACTGTGTACTCTTATGTTAATATAAATTTAATAATATTTAATTACTTCTTTGGTGTTCCTCTATGATTTATGAATTATCTTTTATGGTATTGAAATTAACGGAAAAAAATATTTGAATCAGGTGTTTTCTGATTGGTTGAAAATAAGCTCGCTTCTGATTGGTTATAAATAAGTGACTGTGGTATTGAAATTAACGGACAAAAATATTTGAATTAGGCGTTCTCTGATTGGCTGAAAATAAGCTCGTCCCAGATTGGTTATAAATCTCTACTTATAGGCTAGGGAATGGTAGGTTAATTGAATAGTCGAAATTTATCAATATATCTTTTATTTTACTATATCTATTTTGATAAACATAAAATTATAAATCTAAAAAAATGTAAAATTGTGATTAATGGAATATATGGTATGAGAAAAGATAATGAAATTTGATTTAAAGTTTACTCTATGTTTTAGTAATTGAACTCATCCGTCATAATAGAGTCTTTTTCTGCCCGTTACTGTCTTTCGACAGAACGGGCAAACGTATAATCGAATAGCGCATGCCGGGCAAAGGGTATGGTGACAAGGCTGAATCACAATCGTTGGGAGAGCATCCTGACAGATCTGGCAGGTGATGGTCCGTTGAGGTTCGGTTGGGGTTTCTTGACCTCGAATGATGTTATCGTCCATCTGTTGTCCTGTCATCACGAGGATCCGCTCCAAGGACGTCCGGATCTCGTTCCAGATGACTGGAGCAACTTCTGCCATCTCTGCTCGGCTGGCCATTCCAATTGCGGAATCTGCCAATGTCAACACCTCCCTTAGTTCTGTCCTAGTGGTGTTGAGGTGGCCGATAGCTCTCCACGAAGCTCTGTCACCACTGTCGGCATCGATATCCTGAAAACAAATCAAGTTTTATTTTTTTTGTTGATGTCTCTAGTTATGGTTGGGTAAGAGAAATAAAATTAGGCGATGAAAACCCACCCTTAGAAAAAACTCCATTCTTTGACGTAGGATTCTTTCTTCCCGTTGGCAGCTCCGGCAGAGAGGATGGGGCTCTAGCAGTGCATGGGAAGAAGAGGTCTCTGGCGAAGGACTACGAGGTGAAGATGGTAGTACTTCGTCAGAGAGAAGCTCGTTCCCCTGTGCCTGTGACGGGTCGAAGTCATCCACGGGCTAAAAAATGTAAAATATATCAATATTCTAATATACATATATTATAGATGCTAAAGATTTATTCTAAACTTATATTATTCTTACCGTGGGATTTATCCTTCTGGATGGTCCAGCAACAGGTTCAGAAGGTACTGGTCGAAGGCCTGAAACGGCATCCATCAGGTGCTGATTGTGTTGTTCTTCGATCCGACTTAGAAGTCCGGGGGTCCCTCTAAATACATGGGAAATGTAGGACCCTTCGCCGGTCGAATTGTAATACAACCAGCGTGTTCCTTCAGGAATTCTGCTGTTATTCTGAAAAACAAAATGATGTAAATTATGCAATAAATATTTTACATGGTACTAAATCATACTACTGTACTATTTAATAGTGAACATTGATACTAGTCTTACCTCATGTGTGATGAGTATCCAAAATGGATCACGTGGCCTTCTGTAGTAATCTTCATAGGTGCTGCTGAATTCTATGGTTAAATGACCCCCACTCACAGATCTTAATATTTGGACAAAACGGTCTGCTGCCTCTGACTGTAAAAGGAAAAAAAAGATAAACCAACAATCTATTATATACTTACAGTGAAAATGTATAATAGCTAGTTATATTTACTTACATAGGTTATCTGATGATAGCCGATTGGAGGCAGTGGAGCGGTTCTGGCTAAATATATGAGGATATCTCCTCTTGTATTTGTGAAGTGGGAGTCATTATTCATCAGAAGTGCAGGCTCAAGCTGGAATAAATTAAAAGTTATTAGTAGCTGTATTAATTACTTATTACGATGGGATGCTATTAGGAATGGTTAAAAGGTGAGTAAATGATTATACTGATAAATTACCATAATGATGTGTTCCATCTGCGTTCGCCGCACTTCGGACTCTAAATACTCTGAGGTTTCAGTTACGGTATGGTTGGATGTCACATCTCCTTGCCATAACTGAAGGTGTTCTTGGTCAATTGGTTCACCACCTCTCTGTAAATGTTTGTAAGTTATAAAAATAGTTACTTCTACTAGTAAAACTAATTAATGTAAATACATCTAGGATTTCTACTGACCATCAGTGTAGTTAGAGTCCACTCAATGGAGTTAACAGTTGCAACTCTGACATAGGGGTAAATCCCAGTTTCAGGGGTTGGATAACTGTACCTCCTCATGTTATGAATTTCTACGTTGGCACGGCGCTGGAAAATACATATGAATTAATAATACGGCAAATTAACAAACATGAATGATTAACAAATGTTGGATTTTTTAAACGTACTCTATTACCGTTTTCTTACCTGGGAAATGTGAGCAAACCCTTCTAGAGGAAATAAATTGAGGGTAGTGTTATCATTCAATTGCCGTCTATATGATAGCAAATCTCCTCTGATGTTGGTGAAATATACTTCCCCGGTGCTGTTGTGGTTGAATGGAAGCAATAAATGTATTATTTCATTCTGAAAATAAAAACATATTTTTATAAGTAGAAACTATTTAGTTTTGATTAGTATGTATTTTGAACAGTTTATAAGAGTAAACTTATAAATAATAACTTACACGTCTCCATTGATTAAGGTCGAGGTTTTCCACAGTGGCGTCCTGGAAAAACAGTGTCAAATTAATATAATGTAGAAATGATTTTATGTCATAACATACGTATAGTTCCTGTAAATTAAAACTGAATTATTAAACAGGACTTTAAAAGATAAAGAAATATGTAAAGTATAAAAAGTATTTTTTTCAATATAACTTACAGAATCATCATCTTGAAAGATGTCCGGACTGGGTACCTAAAAGATAAATACAAATAATGTAATATAGTTCCCGGATGTTTGCACAAGTAAATATTACGACAATATAGTACTATCCTGAAATTATAACATTTAGTTAATCACAAGACAAAATTATGGTTTTGATTTCAAAATAATCTGTTGTGATTATCATCGGTTGTACGGGTTGTTGATTGCTGTGAAGGAATGTGACAGGTCGTTAATCACGGCTCCAGCTGCGTCAAAGAATGTGGCGGCTTATAAGATCTCAAGATAACGTCACTCATCCTATGCTCCTTGTTATACGTGGCTTAAAATATTTACACTTGGGCACTAAAAATATACATAACCTGAAAAAACAATTATAAGTTGACTATTTTAAAGTATACAAACCTAAAAAAAGCAATTTTAATATTTAGACTTACCGAGCGTGAAGGAAGATTTTCCTCGTCTGAGGAGCTGGTGGCTGTAAGGCCGGCTAGCAGAAACACTACCGAAAGAAACTTCATGGTGAAGATATTCACAGAGAGTGATGAGGCTTCAATTTTTGACTCTGATATATATACAGAGATAAAACCTTGAATCAGAGTGACCTGACCCTCAAAATAATCGCAATGCTATCTCTTTGACAGCTTGCCAAATTTGTTCTTCTGCTAATTTATGTGGAAACAACCTCCAAATGATTTGCAATTTCCTTGATGACTTTATATGGAGAGTTGTTTATTCTGTCCTCGGCATTTCCTTAGTCTAGTTTTGTATTTTTCTTTGTATGATACTTAATGCTATTTAGCTAGCAGAACTTTGTATTTGTCAAATAAATGTTACCTTTCAAGTTGGTATGTAATTTTAAACTATCTTTGTATTTTTCTTCGCATAATAGTTAAATATTATTTTTAAGCTGCAAATTTTATATTTCCCTTCATATAATAGTTAAATGCTCTTTGGAGCGGTAATTAATGCATTACCCTTTTACCCTTCATTTTGCAAATTACCTTCTAATTATTGGTTGTAGCAGGGAAGATATTAAAAACAATCGAAATAAAGAAATAGTACATTTATTTTTCTATATTTTTTATTACATAAAGAACTTTACGTTGGGGCTTCGCCCTGTCATCCCTGTACATTGGATTTTGAAGCCGCCTTTGTTGAAGCGGTCAATCTGCTGGTTTGTCAGCTGGTCGACAAATCTTCGAGGGAGGAAAGTGATGGCTGTCTCTCCCTTTGGCATGACGATTTCGACCATGATGGATGGGCCGTATTTCGTCTCCGTGCGCTTCATGGAGCTTATAGGGTAGCCCTCTGCGGCGGTGAGGTCCTTACAAGGGACCTTAGAAGGACCGTCATAAACCTCGAGGGCAGCTAGTTCTTGCAACATTTGTTTGTCCATTATCTGAAATTACCAATTTGAGATTAATAAACAATCTTTTCCTGCTGTATTCTTTAGTAAAAAAAAACTGTTAAATGTGTCAAAGAGACCATATAGTTGAATTGTTTTTACTCTGTATTTTACCTGTTTTACTCGTTATTTTAAATTTTTACATTAAATTGACCAGCAAAAAAATTAAAAAGTAATAAATCATACTTACAATGATGTAAATGTTTAAGATGGCAGATGATGTTGACTTCTAGAGCGGTGCTGCTATACTGACTATCTCGATGTTGGTCCTGCTTAAATAGGGAAAATGGGGGACAAAGTTCACCTTGTGATGTAACTTTTAATCTGCTTGGATATTGACCCACGTTTCCACACCACCCATGAGGTAGGGGTCTCAGCGCATTCTTTTTTTGTTAACTCAGAGGCATCCCCAGGAGGTCTACACCCTCTGAGATAGACTGCCCCATCCATCGCAGTCTATGGTGATGGCCACTCCATAACAAATATGCCACCTCCCAATATTTTTTTTTATTTTTTTATTTTTTTTATTTTTTTTGTCCTTTGACTAATGTAGAGGGTTATTTACTTGGTGAAGCCTTTCAATTAACCCTTTTACCATTGACAAAGGATATTTTACTTTTATATATTTTTTTTGTCCTTTGACTAATGTAGAGGGTTATTTACTTGGTGAAGCCTTTCAATTAACCCTCTTGCCACTGACAAAGGATACTTTTTCTTTATATTTTTTTTTGTATCTTCCAGATCATCTGAGGGGGTTACACATACATTTGAGGATGCCTGAGGGAGACTCAATGTCTTAAGGTTTTTAGGCCAGCCTCCTCACCCCGTGGACTTACAGGTTTTACGCCAGCCTGATGAGTGAGTGGCGATCCTCTTTGAGGTTTATATCAACCTTATGCCCTGTGGACTTATGGGTTTTAAGCCTGCCTGTTGAGCATATAAACCGCACCTCAGATGATCTGTAAGATTTTTTTAGTAAGAAATATCTATATACGATAAATGATCATCTACAAACTTGCTACTTACATCTTGATATAACAAGATATAATCCCAATCTACTTTACTAGCATAGTCATGAATGAAGGGTTCGGATAGTTTTTGATATTTACTAACAATATCCCAACACCCATCAAAATTAAGAGCCATTTCTCGAAGGAAGGCTTCTGAGAATTTTTGACGCTTCAAAATTAGACTCCAGTTGACTTTGTGAAAATAAATCCTAAGCATATCAATAGAAAAATTATATTTATTGGATAAAATGTTCCAGTCCAAAAACCGATCAAACTTCATTATAAAACTGTCAGTCATCACCCCTTCGGGCTCCTTTGGTTCTTGTGACAATAGTGACCAGACGTTTTCCATCTCCAAGCTCATACTGACCAGCTTCATAAAGTGAAAGGCTTAAGTAGTACTGAAGTGTGTATGCAGTACGTACGGCACACTTTTTATGGTCACCCATAGAACATGCTATTCCTGGCATAGCGTCAATAGCGGGACCATCTATTACACGAACATCTGAATGAAACCTCTTCAAAAACTCAGCCTTCTCCCTACCTTTAGTATATATACATTGAAAAGGGAGACATAAGGCTGAAATTAAACCCTCATTAAATGGTATACTACCCTCTTCCCAACGCAAACCATGATGATTTCGAGAAAGCCAACGATTGGTTTTTTGGGCTTTAGAGTTTAATTGATGAAAGCCGTAGGGAGGTTTAAACAATATTTGGCACTCTAGAGAACCACCAACAATGGCCAGTTCTTTTATAATGAAATTATCATTGTTATCTTTAAAAGCTTGAAACTCTACTACAGCCTCCATATTGACAATTCACTTCTAAGACGATCAGCAACGTCAGATGGTAGCTCGTCTGTTTGTTCTTTAGCGTCAGCCAAAACTTGATCGATAAAATCTTTAATGAATACTTCCAAGTAAAATAATTCCAAGAGGTTTCTACAAATTATAGGGATATTCTTTATTAACTGATTCCACTCAACTAAATTAAGGGACAAGGAGTGCTCACCGTCACTAATGTACGCGTACTGATTTCCAAATACGTTATTTACTTTGATACTTGATCCTTCGTCGGTCTTAATATTTTCTGATCGTTTTTCCAAGAGAGCTAAAG